ACACAGCATGATGATAACTCAGATTTCTTCTCAGCCTTTGATCCAACCTGGTACCCAGACTTAGGTGCCACAAATCATTTCACACCAGATGTCTCGAATCTTGCAGCCAAGACACCTTATACAGGTCAAGAAACAGTAAAAATTAGTAATGGTTCAGGTATGCAAATTAAAAATATTGGTCATTCAATTCTTGAATCACAGTCCAATTCCTTAGCTTTTCCATTATCCAATCTGCTTCATGTTCCAAACTTGTCAAAGAATCTGATTAGTGTCTCTCAATTTGCAAGAGAAAATCGAGTTTTCTTTGAATTCCATGCTAATGTTTGTTTTGTTAAATCACAGGCTTCCAAGGAGATCCTTCTCCAAGGAAAGCTTAAGAATGGATTGTATGCATTTGAAGGTGTTGCTGTTTCTAAGGAACCTAAGAAGCTCAACTCTTCAAGACTGTGTTCTTCTTCTGACTTACATAGTTCCAGTCCTTTTAAAATTTCAAGTTCTTCTGTTTCAACTATGAATGTAGCTAGTCATTTCAATTCCAAGTCTAGTCTAAGTCTCTGGCATGGTCGATTAGGACATGCTGCCATCAACACTGTAAAGACTGTTCTTCATCATTGTAAAATACCATTCTACAATAAAACTGATCATGACATTTGCAAAGCATGCTGCATGGCCAAGATGCACCAACTTCCGTTCCCTAATTCTAACACCACATATAACAAACCACTTGAACTAATCTTCTCAGATATTTGGGGACCTGCAGCTGTCCCAAGCACATATGGTTCAAGATACTACATCAGCTTCATTGATGCGTATAGTAGGTACACATGGATATTTCCATTACAGAACCGATCCCAAACATTTACAATTTTCACCCAATTCAAAGCAATGGTTGAGTTGCAGTTAAACACCAAAATAAAAATATTCCAAACTGATAATGGCAAGGAATATACTAGACTCACCCCTTTTCTTAAAGAACATGGCATAATTCATAGATTTTCATGTCCATATGTTCATCAACAAAATGGTACAGCTGAAAGAAAACATAGACACCTTGTTGAAACAGGCTTAGCACTCATGGTTGCCTCATCCACACCTACACAACATTGGGAAGATGCTTTTCAAATAGCAACTTTCATTATAAACCTGTTGCCTACACCAACCCTCCAAAACCAGTCACCATATCAAGTTTTATTCAACAAAACTCCCAACTATACATATCTTCGAACCTTTGGTTGTGCATGCTATCCTCATACCAGACCTTATAACTCTCATAAACTTGATTATAGATCAACTCAATGTGTCTTTCTTGGCTACAGTCCTCATCACAAGGGCTACAAATGTCTTGAGCTATCTGGTCGAATGTTTATCTCTAGGAATGTAATCTTTGATGAGTCTTTATTTCCTTTTGCAACTGTCACTGCTCCATCCACTCACATACAAATTCCAACCACATCACATGCTCCTGTCATTCCTCTTGTTCAGTCCAATTATCCTGTCCCTATTACTCAAGAATTCAATGACCATAATACAATTATTTTGCCTACTGACACTACTAATAATGACAATACATCTCCTTTGCAAGCTGTTTCTTTACCTGACAGATTGATACCAGCTCCTACAAATACAAATAGCTGCACTGCTACATCCACAAGGATTACCCCAAATGTAGCTGCCACTCCACCACTTCGAGCCACAACAACAAATAGCCATCAAATGACCACACGGGCCAAAGCTGGTATTCATAAACCAAAAGCATTGACAGTCACATTAGAGCCAACAACTGCCACTCAAGCTATGTGTCAACCTCACTGGCTCCAAGCAATGCGTAAAGAGTATGATGCACTGCTGAAAAATAACACTTGGAAGTTGGAACCTCTTCCTCCTGGCAGATTACCCATAGGATGCAAATGGGTTTTTCGAACAAAGTATAAACCTAATGGCAATATTCTCAAGTACAAGGCACGTCTAGTAGCAAAGGGCTTCCACCAACAACGAGGATTTGAATTTGCTGAGACCTTCAGTCCAGTGGTAAAACCAACAACAATCCGAGTTGTTCTCAGTTTAGCTGTAACTCAACAGTGGCCAATTCATCAAATAGACATCAACAATGCCTTTCTCAATGGTAATCTCACTGAAGATATCTTCATGGCACAACCTCCTGGCTTCAAGGCAAGTGATAAAACCCTTGTTTGTCATCTAACCAAGGCATTATATGGCCTAAAACAGGCTCCCAGAGCATGGTTCGAAAAGCTAAGTTCCACTATCATTAATCTTGGTTTCATGGCAACCAAATGTGATAGCTCCCTGTTTGTCTCTTTAACCTCCACTTCCACTCTTTATGTCTTAGTATATGTTGATGATATTCTAATTACTGGATCAAGTTCTACAACCATTAAAGCTCTTATCCAGAACTTAAATTCTGCATTTCCTCTCAAAGACTTGGGTCACATTCATCACTTCCTTGGAATTGAAGCTCACAAACTGTCCACTGGTCATATTCTGCTGAACCAGTCCAAATACATTTCTGATTTGCTCACCAAGGCAAACATGGCAGATTGCAAGTCCATGCCATCTCCAATGATTTCAGGTTTAAAGCTATCCTCTACCACTGGTTCTCCTTTCCATGATCCATCTCTGTATAGATCGATTGTGGGTGCACTCCAATATGTGACTATTACTTGACCAGAAGTCTCCTTTTGTGTTAACAAAGTCTGCCAGTTCATGCACAATCCCCTTGATACTCATTGGAAAACAGTCAAATGAATTCTCAGATACTTATGTGGTACTGCTTCTTATGGCTTAAAGTTTTCTCCTTCACCTCACTCTCATCTAGTTGCATACTGCGACTCTGATTGGGGATCTGATCCAGATGATCGACGGTCTACATCTGGAAATTGCATTTATCTTGGAGGGAATCTCATCTCATGGTCTTCCAAAAAGCAACCAGTGGTGAGCAGGTCCAGCACCGAAGCAGAATACAGGTGCATAGCATCGACAATAACTGACCTCGCTTGGCTTAAATCTCTGCTTTCTGAATTGCGTGTGGCACTTCCAAAACCTCCCATCCTCTACTGTGACAATCTCAGCACAGTTATGCTGTCTGCCAATCCACTGTTCCACTCACGCACCAAGCATTTTGAACTTGACTTGTTCTTTGTCTGGGAAAAAGTACTTGCCAAAGAGGTGCTCATTCATCACATCCTTTCCCTTTATCAAATTGCTGATGGCTTTACCAAGTCTGTTTCCAATTTCAAGTTCACTGACTTTCGTGACAAACTTCGCGTTTCACCTTACTTCACTGCTCAGCTTGAGGGGGGATGATAGAGTATTGTATTGACTTGATCAGTTAGTTATAACTGTTAACTGTATTCTGTTTAGATTTACTTTCACTTTCTGTTATTAAGCTTTCCTTCTCTGTTAGCATTCCTTCTATATAAAGGTGCTATACTCTACATGTACAATTAATTCAATTCAATACACATTTTACACACTTATCTTTTATCTTGCTTTTCTTTCATTTGTATCTGATACCTTTCACAGTCATCTTATATTTTTAGGACACTTTACTTCCCACTAAAACGTATAGAATATATAAGAAATGACAAGTGATAAACAGTCCAAGAGAGCCTTATATGCCCTTAAAAACAATGTCATCATGACCAGATTTAACGGAGAAAACTGTCGAAAAAAGAACATGCACACTACAAATCCAGGAAACAGAAAGAATGAGTGGGAAATTGTAAGAGTTTCCCTAGGGGTCGTTTGGTTGAGGAGAAATTTTTTGAATATTAGGAAAATGTAATTGACAGGAAAATGGTTGGAAAGTGAGTTTGGTAGGAAAATGTAAAAAAAGTTGTTTGTTTAGAAAAAAATTTACCGGAAAAATTAGGTAAGATTTATAAAGTCTATGTTTGGTTTGAGGTAAAATATAGATGGAGAAATAACTTCAAATTACAAATTTAACCCCAGAAAAAAAGTGAAACCTTGGCACTTTAGATGAGGGTATTTAAGTCTACTAGTGGGTTGCTCTTTTGCCATTTAGCTAGCTAAATGTAAAATACCACCTTCAAGTTGTCTTTCTAAATAGTAACTTTGTCTTGCTTTCTATGAACAAATAAGGAATGCTATGCAAATACAATACTTAGGGAAATTTTGTAAAACCTTCTACCAAACATTGCTAATTCGATTTGCATAGGTAAATTTTAAGAAATCTTCAACCAAACACCACCTAAGATAATTTTATGGATTTCATTTGCTTTATTGTGTAAAATTCTCTCTAAAAAAAGTGTAAAATTCCATTAATAGAATTTTGTAAATAATCAATTAAATTCAAAAATTTAAACGGTTAGATAAAATATATTTATTATTTCTTAACAGTAATATATTTAAGAAGTTATCAAAAACTTTATTGTAAAATAAGAATCTTAATCATTAAAATAATGTGAAAATTTTAATTTTATTAATAATAAAAGATTAAAAACTTTTCAATGGAGAAATCGACGAATGATGGCTTCTTAAATGTGAATAGTAAAGTACAGTCATTTGATCAGGCAAACAACCAAGGGCATTTGGTCTAGTGGTATGATTCTCGCTTAGGGTGCGAGAGGTCCCGAGTTCAATTCTCGGAATGCCCCTTTATACAATGTTTTCACTTTTCAAAATTAACTGAGCTTGGTCCCAATTCAGATTAAACAATTAGAACTACATAGTATTCCATTTTTTTAATCTAGGCCATTACCACCTTAGAATATGCATAAGATTGAACACCTGATATCATGTATCCATGCACTATTTCTCAAAAATCAGCTAGCATATTCAGATTTTACACTAATAAAAGACTCAATCTCCTGCAACAGGATTAGCACTAAGATAATTTGTCAAGACAAAATTAAGAAGCCCAAGCATTATTTACCAAGCTTCCAACACCATGCTACTACTACTGACGTCTGATTCCAAATATTGGAGTGTCAACGAGAAGTGACAAAAACTAGTATAATCTGTCAGAAGTCAGAACTACAAAGTACAGCTTTTGTCTTGAATTCTGCGGGAGAACTTAGTACCGTGTCTCTAAGCTGATGAGGAGCCTGAAAATCCTTTTTATGACCTTGAAGCCTTAGATTGTTTCGGACATAAACAAGGTCTTCCCTTCTTTCTAATCCCAACCCAGAAGATGTTTCTTGGCATGGATTACCATTATGTTTCCATATCTCTTCACACATTGCAACACTTGAAACCTGACTCAAAACTTTTATGGCTAAGGTTTGCAAGTGGGGTATTTCAAAACCAAAGTTCTCCCACCATGCAACCGGGTCCATTTTATCTCTACAATCCACAGCATCTTCCTCTCCTAAGGATCCTTCGAGTCGCCAATAAGAACTTAACTGCTCTCTGAGAACTCTTCTGGCTGTGCTTTCATACTCATATCTCTCTAATGTGGTTTTCCAACCCCTCATTATGGTTTTATCCTTGGTCTGGCCTCTGCCAAAATATTTAGGATTCAATATATAACCTGCAGAATGAAGAGGCGAGAACAACACATCCCACCTATTATCTATCAACCCTTCTAGTTGATTGAATGCACCAGTATCCATGCCTGTACTCTTCACCGCATCGATAGCCTGAACACGCCACTCATGGACATCGCCCATGACACATCTGTCAATATTAAGCGAAGCAAACAATCTGATAAAAGGTTCACATATTTGTAACAATATATGAGCCCTGCTCCAGAAATCTTCCCCTAATATGGCTGCCTCAATGCTTCCCACATCTTGTGGCATATTATGCTTCCATTGCTTCCACTCTTCCCTCACAACCACTTCTTGCAATCCTTGCTTTAGTTCATGTATCTGTTGGACAACATAACTGGAAGGTGCAATTCTAGCAAACAGCGAGTCAGAGGTCCCTTTCAAATTTTGAGTGAAGACACAGGGAGAGAAGTTCTGAAATGTGGTCATGCATTTCTCAATTTCTTTAGCACATAAGACAATAGGTCTTATCCAATCCAATTCGGCTATATCTTCCATCAAAATGTGGACAGAATGTGAAGAGCAAGGAGACAAGAATATATGAGGGAAATCCAACATTGCATGAGATTCTGGATATGATCTGGCATGACCTAGATGTGAAATTATCTGAACCACATATGTAGGTCCAACTTCCATGACCGTGTCTCTAAGGATGCTAACAACAGAATTGCCTGCTCCATCAATATTGTCCACATTTACTGCTTTCAAGAATGAGAGTGCCCTAGGGCTAGATACAAACATATTAACCTGAAAACTACCCAACATACCATGTGAACGGCCAATACACAGTAACGTGCATCCTGTGTGTGGCCAAGATTCCCTAACAAGACTCACATATTTGTCAATCCTTTCTTTCTCTTTGCTCAAAAAGGAACCACACAAATCATGTACTGAGAGAGGGTCATAGCCTGGTCCAAATGCTGCAACTGCTTTTATCATCTCCTGGAAGTAAGGTGAGTTAATAATGTTTGCATGTAATCCCTCAGCAAAGAAGAATCTTACTAGCATTTCATCTACATCCTCTTTGGTGATACAGGTGAGATTAGGTCGAGAAGTCCGAATACGCTTGCTATGCTTTCCAGTTCCAGAAGCTCTTTTCTTTTTCCGAGCAACCCTCTCTTCTTCTAAGATTTGAAATGATTCTTTCAAAGACCTATCTATAGCTGGACAGCTTTTGACTCCAACACCAGAAAAACCAAGAAGATGGGCTCTAACACGTGAATAAGATCCATTGTATCGTAGATTGCAGTGATTGCATTTCCATCTTTTTGTACCGCTTCCCTTATCAAACCCACCAAACACACTGACATGCTTCCACCCCCATTTATCTGATTCTGATGGCATCCTTCAAACTCAGGGTACTGCATGGCACAAAGGGGTAAACATTCAACAAGATGAAATTCCCAAGAAATTAAAACACCATATTAAAATTCTTAACATGCCACGAAAACAACAGAATAAGCAGTTGATGCTTTGGAAAAGTTGATAACCACATGGAAATTATGCTGAGCATAAACATATTTGTACTAGAAGCTAAACCATTTGCACATGAATGCTCTTCTACAAACAGCCTAAAATCCTAATTATATTAGCCCATGTAGTTTGAATTATGTAAAAGCTAATTTTCATTGACATGGGAAACAACGTAGCATCATTCTAAAGTCATAGTCATATTTTCCACATATACAAACCAATTGCATAATGGAAAGATAAAATTATATACTAAAAAAAAAGTTACTTGAAAACATTCTTACACTAGCATAGCATGAGATTGCAATTTTGTGTACCAAGCCAAACTCCCTTGAAGATAACATATTCAGATACTGGATCATTATAAGAACTCAAGATGGCAGCTCTTGAAACTTATCGATATCCTTGTTTAATATTAACCATATTTAGCGTATTTAAGTTTTTGTCTGATTTTATTTTACACACAAACATTTAATTATTAAGCTGCCGTGTAGGTTGGATCCTTCCCATCATGTCCAACACATACCAGAGTGGTTTCATATTCAAAACAACATAAATATCTTGTTGTCCCCTTCTTGCACCAATTTTTTTTTTTAATGTAAGGTCCTAAACACTCGTTTAACATTAATTTCATCTATCAAAATTTAACAGAACGCAACAAAATTGATCAAAAAGAACTATAAAGGGCCACTTGAAGCAGGTATTATAGCTGTAACATTGATAACAATCTCAAGTCAAGAACAAAACCATTCCCCGTAACAATAAGCTCTAATCCTTAGTCTGTATTCTCCAATCAACTCAAATGTGCTTCCAAGAATAGATAGTTTCACAGCATCTCCTTGTTATTCCCTTGCAGCACCACTTACTGTGTTACTTGAACTTCAAGTTAAAATATTTACACAAAAAATCCATTTAAATTAGCGAACTTTGAACTGGGTTTTCGTGCTACGACAAGATCATCCACAAACATCCGAACCCCATTTGGGTTTGTGGACTAGGTTTTCTGGAAACGTTGGGAAACAGAACAAACCGTGAATATGAACATAAAAGGGTGACAACGTTAACACAGACATTGGGTACTGAAACTCTACATTTATGTTAGAAATTACTATTATTCAAAGCTTGTGAACAATTCCAGCTGAAACTGAATTCTGGAATCAAAACGATGTATTTCGAGAGATGGAAATTTACCTTAGCAGAGAATTTCGTGAAGCAAAACGTGTTGACGAAACCGCGCGTTTCTTTGGGGTTTCTGTATACGGTAAAGAAACGAAGAATTTAGAGGGACACGCGTTTCTCCAGTTTCCGTTTCGTTTTTTTTTTTCCAAAAGTTTCCGAATTTCCAATCTCAAAGTCCATTTATCATTTTTACTCGGATTTTACCTTTGATTGGTTGCCCCCTTTTTTTTTTACAGTATTATAGATAAAGTTCATTTTTTTTCTTCTTCTTTTTCGAAAATATGTATCAAAATAAAGAACCTACGAAAATGTTGAATTCTAACGTGTCTGATTAATTTGAAATATATATAATTTTTAAGGGATAGAATATCGTGACACCCAAGTTATGTTACACCCATGTGACACCCAGTCAATCTCACCGTTAGATCACTTATGTTGATCCAACGGTTATATTTATTTCCATCTTTGTATGGTCATGATTTTCCAAATTTAATATTTTATATTTATTTTTACCTTTGTATGGTTATGATTTTCCATATTTAATGCTTTCACTTTAAATTTGGAAAACATGACCATACAAAGATGGAAATAAATATAACCGTTGGATCAACATAAGCGATTTAACGGTGAGATTGACTGGGTGTAACATAACTTGGGTGTCACAATATCCTATCCCAATTTTTAATTCGATATTTGTGCCAGATCTTACAATCGAATTTTAAATTAGAATATTTATACTCTATTTTAGGAAGAAAAAAAAAGGAATAATTATACTCTACTTATACTCATTATTTGATGCATATTTCAGACAACTCATGTTTTTAACTTATTTAAAAAATATCAATCGCTAAAGTAAAATACCTTTGTTCTTACAATAATGGAGTATTTTTTATGAAAAAATATTTCTCTTGTTATTGGAGATAAAATTATTTTTAGCAATTCTAAAATTTCATCGTTTTGAGAGGTGCTGTAGTTATTTTTTTTAATAAAAAATAAACTGAACTATACATAACTAAAAGTTGAGAAAATATAGCTAGTTAAAAAAAGGAAGAAAGAAAGAAATGGCCACTTATTGATGTAATGTATTGGCTTACTAATACAAGTCTATACCAAAAGTTTTTATATATAAAAATAAATAAAAAATTCTTCCTATGCATAGTAGTCCCCTTTATTGCGTGCATCAAGATTCAGCAGAAAATGAGTAACAACTGAGACTTATATACCAATACTGGGACATGTGCAAGTGCAAGTGCAACCATGATAAAAAGAAGTTATTAGGCTGTTAGAAGCTGATACTGCTGGTGTAATTATTTTTCGTTTCCTAAACTTGCTGTAATTTGGGCTATGCCCTTCCTATATATATCAAAAAAAGAAAAAAAGAAAAAAGAAGAAGCAAAGACATGAATCAAATTTAATTTGGGTTGTCTTTATCACAGGAGATGACCAGATGCAGTTATGTTTTGCAAACCATTATGATTTATAATAGCAACAAATACCTCTGTAAATTTCGTAGCATGTTTACTTGGAACGCCTTGAAGCTATCATGGCCAAAACGTAAGTCCAGATTGCTAATTCTGCTTCACAGTTCCCGTCTACTTTCAATAAGGTGTTTCACAATATAAATTTTAAAAATTATACTAAACCAAAAATACCATGTTATACAAAATATATTATAAGTTAAACAAATATTATAATTTATCACTTTTTAAAAAAATTAAAACTCAATGGGTGTCTAATGCATGGTCATGTTGAATTAGGACAGAAAGTTTTGGAAATAATTGATAGAATTTGAGCCTGAACGAAGTGGAAAGATGTTTTCGAGATAAGAAAATTGATGAGAGACAGAGGAGTGTCAATCATTTCTACTTGGATTTTCATAGAAATCGATGAAAGCATCCAGAATTGTGTTGCTGATTACGAGTGTTGTACTTATTCAAGAGAAATCTACGAAATCTAAGTCACCTTGGAAAGAAACATTAGGATTTTTGCAGAGCAAATGATGTTTTTTTATTTGAAATAGTACAATATTGATGAAGAAATGGGTTAGCATGTTTAGAAACATTCACATGGGTCATAGTCTCGTGAATCAATTAAGAGTTAGGTGGTTAAACAGGAGGAAACAGAATTGTAAAGCATTTTTTTGGCATGATTTCTTAAAACAGAGAAGGGATGTTCCCTTATAAGAGGATTCAACCTCTATTTATTCTCCATCTCCATCAAGAATAACAGAATCCTTTTCATTCTGGCGCATGCTTATTCCTATCTAAAAACCTTAACATGCATGTAAAAAAACAAAAACCTTAACATGCACAATAAACAAGAATTGTTATTTATCTCATGAGAGCAAGCAGGGAGACATCAAAATCAGAATCACCACCATTATTGGGATACAAGAAGTCAACAATTATTTTGCCATACACACCCTCAATCTTGCAATGACATAAACCGCATCACCAAGAAATTGAAAGAATCATATCCTGTCTCAAATACAACATACTGCATATAAATAACTTCATTTTTATTCTACAGGAGAAAATTGAAGACAGGATTAGAACTCACATAATATCCTTTCCCTAAAGACATACAGTCAAACTACAAATTTCATATTCTTTAAAAAATGAATCATTACAAAAGGAAACAGAATAATTATATAAAATCTATTGAACAGGACTCTTGTTCAGCCTAGCATTTCAGTCTACTATGCTATGTTCAGTAATTCCTGCCTTTCTGGTGCAGTGCTTGGCTACTTGATAATCATGTCAATATAAGGAATAAAAGACTAATTTTCTATTGATAAAATATATCTTTATCAAAGAAATGATTATTTATATGCTAACCAAGACAACATATAAAAATAAAAACCTTTGAATTGGTAAGGAAGCCAAGATTGATAATATTGACTTCATAATATATAGCATAGACCAAATTGGATATCACCATTAAATCAGTTCATATGAATAGTGTCAGGTGTCAACTGATTGTCAAAATTTACAACTTGACTTCATGTCATGCTAGCAATGCAATAAATTCAGTATTAAGGCTTCAAGCTACAAAAAACTGTAAAAGAGTGGAAGGAAAAAAAATTGCAAAACATAAACACAGTAATAACATAATGATTAAATACTCGTCCAAACTCCAAACAACAACAAAAAATAAAATTCACGATGAAATAAGATAAAGATGCTAAAGTTCATGTACTAACTCCAAAACTAAGTGCATACGGACTACTATTCTGTCTCCAAGCAGTCTCATCACTCTCTGCCTATTACTCTTTATGCATCATAATACCAGAAGAGTTCATAATACAAGACGGGTATGAATAAAATGACATAGGTATCAGATAATATTTCACAATCTAATTCTTCTTGCTTGTTATTGTCATTCATCTTCTCCAGCTTGCTCATTGTCTCCGGGGGAGCGAAAGCAGAGACTCTGTATACATAGCCTCATCGTACTGACGTGGAAAAACACAACACAAGCGATGCTCTTGAAGCTGTCCCTTGTCATTATATTTCATTAATCGTCCACCATCTTTTCCAACAATATCACCACTTTTTGTAGAGCATATTGGAGAAAAGTATACATTAGGAATGCCATCAATAGACTTAGTCCAAGATGACTTCACTTTGTATTCTTTCATCACCCATATATTAGCTTTACTATTCCTCACAACAACAGACAGACTGAGAAATCCTCCAAGTACCCGCAAATCACAAGATAGAAAGCTGCCGACAAAATCATCTGGTAGAGGTATCTCATAAACACTCCTTTCCATCAAATCAAAGGCAAAAATAACAAGCATTGTTGTACGACGATGAACACACAACCAATGAATAGCACCATTCAAGAGTAACCCTTTATACACAGGTCTACCAATACGGGGGTACATATAGGGCAAACGGGTACCCTCAATTTTTGTCCAGGTATCAGCTCTCAATGAGAAAAGCTCCAAGCTGGTTGCCACATTAATTCGGACATCGAAAGGTACTAGAACAACCACCACCACCAAGTAGTCATCCGTTGAAGGATCATACCCAAAACCATAGGAACACACATAATTCGTAGTGGATATTAAAGGAGGCAAAGATATTCGTTTTTTGACACCGGTGGATGGGTTCCATATATTGAGATATGTATTGCAATCCAAAAGTAGAAACCCTCTGCAGGAACCCATAATTCGAATACGAAGATAACAATGAGGTTGGATAGGCAAAAAATTAAGCTTTACTGAATCAGAATCGTCGAGAAGCGATGCATTTAAGTCCCTGGATATACATTCAGAACCAGAAACCGCTAAGGACACAAGTCTTTGGGTGCATGATGCAGCTAATTCAAAATGCGATGTTGCAAAGTGAGGATCAGAGATGAGAGAAAACCATGACTTACAAACACATTTGAAACGTATGATAGACTTAACGGGCAACCTCAGTAGGATTTGAATTAACAATTCCTCAGGCACAAACAGAGTATTATTGTTATCAATGCTTCTTGTTCCTCTCTCACTCTGCCTTTCTTCTTCGCAGGTACCGTAACGTTTGTCCATTGTTTAGCACTACGGGGAATACTGCGTTGGGAATTACGTTTTCTATTTTGTGAGTAACTTTTAGGGTTTAGTGTCAACGAGATAAATATCTCCTCCTCCAATTACGGGATGGGCTAAGCGTATGAGATGTCTATCCCCTAACTATATGAAATGTATTGAATTAGGATTTAAAAAAAAAAAAAATTGACATAAATTTTTTTATAGATTTTAAAAGATTATTTAGAATTGGAGTGACTTCAAACATCTTTTTTATAATAAAGATTTCATAAGATTGAATTTTAAAGGATTTTAATAAAATTTATAAGATTTGAAAGGACAATATGAATTTATAAGATTTTAAAAAATGTAAAGGATTTCTCCAGTCATCGGAAATAAAATTATCTTCGGTGAGCTCAAAATGACGTTGTTTTGAGCGAAAATCAAAGTGTTTTTGTAATTATAATATGGGATAGGATATTGTGACACCCAAGTTATGTTACACCCATGTGACATCCAGTCAATCTCACCGTTAGATCGCTTATGTTGATCCAACGGTTATATCTATTTCCCTTTGTATGGTCATGATTTCCCAAATTTAAAGTGAAAGCATTAAATATGGGAAATCATAACCATACAAAGGTAGAAATAAATATAAAATATTAAATTTGGGAAATCATGACCATACAAAGATGGAAATAAATATAACCGTTGGATCAACATAAGCGATCTAACAGTGAGATTGACTGGGTGTCACATGGATGTAACATAACTTGGGTGTCACAATATCATATCCCTTATAATATATAGCAGGGTTATATTTATCATTATAATTTTTTAATCTTATAACCCCAAAACGACGTCGTTTTGAGCTCACTGGAGATAACTTTATCTTCGGTGACCGGAGAAATACTTTTCCCCTTAAAAAATCATATAAAATTTTAACAAACATTCAAAATTACAAAAGTTAATAAAAAAAACAAAGAAATGCAATAATATTAATAAAAAAAGTAAAACCTAATATAATTTTCTAAACCAGTAAAACATATTATAATTTTTAACAAACATTCAAAATTATTAAGCAACAACTCTCCACATATCTAAAGATATATTATTCCTTCACGCATGAGCATTTTCTCGTTCATGCTCTTGGGTTTGACCAATGAGTTGAAAATTTTCTTCTTTATTTGGTATCAAAGCTATGCATATATGATTATACGATTCAATTTTTTTTAATTATTAAAATAATTCTAAATTTGTATATAGAACCTAAGGTTCATAATAAAATTTCGTTTAGAATTTTTTGCATTTGATCTTAGAAACCTTGGGGGTTTTCATATATGCATGTTTTTATTGAGTATTGTAAGAAAATTTTGAATCTGAATTTCTGGGTTTTATTATATGAAAGTTTAGAAAAAAAAATTCTCATATTATTTTCAATCAATACATTGATACCTTAAATTGTTTTGGGGCTTTTGAAAAAACAAGACTTTAGTTATCTATTCACACAAAAATTGTTTAAAATCGTTTCCTATATCGAACGAATTTTGTTCATGAATGTATTATTACGAAATACAGGTTTCATATTATGAAATTTTCAATTTTTCTTTAATTTGATATTATTCATTTATGTAAAACGAAGATTGGTTTAAGGGTTTTAGTTCCCCAGTTGTTTTTCCATTATTTTATGTTGTTTTTAATACAAAAATCACACATTTTTGTGCCAAGAAACACCATGACTCATAGCTTGAAAAAAAAAATTAAACTTCCAAAATGGCTCAAAAATATGTTAATTTTGAGATAAATTATATTAAAATCTCGTTGGTTTGTTATTTCTGGGTTGTTTAGTGATAAAAATCGTTCAAAAATCTGCTATTTTTGGTTTTGGCGAAACTCCCATTGCGGAACCCGATTTCTAGCGAGTCAACCTGCCAAAGGAAAAAGAAACCACTGCAATAGAGAAATCTCGAAAAATTCTAAGGGTTAGGGTTAGATTGTGAGAGAGGCATCCTATCTACATTTCTCACTAAAAAGTCTCACAAAATCCACACCAATAGAAAATCCATTAAAATCATTAGATTTTTGAATTCCACGAGATTGTTTTTCCATTGTTCAAAATCTTGACTGAATACCAATGTATTTGGACTAACTCTAAAATAATCTTTAAAATCCTAATCGAATACAATATGACTATTTTTTAATCCTTTAAAATCTTAATTGAATACCAGTGGATTTTTTTATCGAAAAATAATCAATTAAAATCATTTGAAATCCCAATCTAATACACCGCCCTTAGGCCTTTAATATGTTTAATAAAATAGAATAAATTTGGAATTTATGAAAAATGTGTTTAAGAAGTAAGCAACTTTATAAATCTTGGCCTACAAATTTACGGTTGGTTTATGGGTTCGTTTTTCCGCAGTGTAGATAAATTATCTATATTGAGTCCAGAATGACGTCATTTTGAGAAAAAAAATCAAGTTATTTTTATAATTAAAATTTATTTTAGGGTTATAATAGTCTTTTTTATTATAAATTTTTAGTCTCTGAACCCAAACCGATGTTGTTTTGGAAATGAATGTAGATAACTTATCTACATTCACTATAGAAATATTAAAGTCTTGGTTTATATTATATTATTTATTTAATTAAAATAAATAAATAATTATATAATACTAATTAATAGAAAATTATATATATATATATATATATATATATATATATACTTTTGATAACTATTGAATACTTAATGGGTTTGTGTTTTTTAAAGTTACTTTAGATAACTTTATCTAATGTTCACCGAAACGACGTTGTTTTGGGACGAAAATCATGGTGTTTTTGTAATTTTAATTTATTCCAGGGTTATAATAGTCTTTATCATTCTAATTTTTTAATTTTCAACCACAAAACGACGTCGTTTTGATGAACATTAGACAAAGTTATCTAAAGTAACATTAGATATTTTTTTCCCATACTTAATATGCTTAAACGAATTATAGGCATAAGCTAGGTTTTTTAATTTTTTAAAATATGTCTGATTAAGCCTACACTGTAGCCTAACTAGGCCAACCAATTTACACATTTATGACTCCAATCTAAAATGCAAAATTTTTAAAATATCCTTTATTTTTTAAGATAATTTTATTTCATTTTATAGAGAAATATTTTTTCCTACTTAATTGTAAAATTTATTTGGAAAAAGTATTTGTCGTTTTAAAGGATCTAAACTTATGTCATTTTAGATCCTAACAGTTGCTTTCCCTCAATCAACAATTAAGATTTATTTGGTCAAATTTATTAATTAATTAGTAATTCACAATAAATCCTAACCGTTGATTGCCGAAAATCAACGGTTAGGATCTAAAATGATATAAGGTTAGATCCTTTAAAAGGATAAATATTTTTCCCATTAATAAATTGGAAAAAATATTTATCGTTTTAAATGACACAACTTATATCATTTTCATACCTTTATTTTTTATATCTACTCTCTTTTTCCTATGATCTATCTCTTTCTTTCACTTAAAATTGACACAACTTTACATCATTTAATGATGTAAAGTAATGATACACACTTTTCCTTTTATTAATTCATGCCCAAATCGACATCGCAGGGTAGCAAAGGAATTGGGGACAAAAGAAAATGATACAACCAGGGGCTGTTTGGTAGGAGTACTTTATTTAAAATGATAGAAAAGTGAAAGTAGGATTCATATATACCCATGTTTGGTAGAGGTTTTTATAATATTTGCTTGGCCATCTAATTTGCCCTAGATTTCAGGCTTTTTGACCCTTTTACCATTCATTAATTAATTAATAATCACTTTGCCCCTTATTCAAAACTATCTACCAATCTGCCCCTCTTTAATAGATTAACTTGAAGATTTAATTGATTGAATGGTCAAAACAGACAAAAATGGTTGACTCGAGATTTAATCGATGAAATCTTCAAGTTAATCGATTAAATCTCCCGACAGGCAACAAAGGTCAAATCTCCTCCATAAACAAAAGCAGATTCTATGCATATGAAGCAAATCAACAAGCATAGATAACCAAACAAACAAAGAAACCAACAAAAGAAAAAGGATTCTTGAAAACTGGATTGATTTACATGAACAGGCCTGGCTCCATTTCTACCTCTCACATAAAAACCTTGCTTATTACATGAAAAACGGCGCGAAGTGATCCTATTGTCAACCTCAGAACGATGACAGCGATCAAGGCGAACAACGAACCCTTCCCGTATATTCATCATAAAAATACTTACCAGAATCTTCAAGTAGTTTTCCGTGTATTGGAGGTTATTTGAATTTTGATTTAATGTAATAGGAGTTGATTGTGATTTGTATTTAATAGGAGCTGATTGCGTTTTGTATTTAATAAGAGTTCATTGTGTTTTGTATTCAATTTTTATCTTGGTATCACTGTAACCAACTCGTAAAATAGCAACTCCTAATAAAACGCAATCAGCTCCTATTAAATACAAATCGCAATCAACTCCTATTACGTTAAATCCAAAATTCAAATAACCTCCAATACCGTGTTTGTCTCATTCAATCAATGTTTTCACGCTCATTTGAGATATTTAATCGATTAAATATAATTTTTAATCGATTAAATCAATTAAGAGGGATATTTAATCGATTAAAAGGGGTATTTAATCGATTAAATCTTCAAGTCAACCATTTTTGTCAGTTTTGACCATTTAATCGATTACATCTTCAAGTTAATCGATTAAAGAGGAGCAGATTGATAGATAGTTTTGGATAAGGAGAAAGATAATTATTAATTAATTAATGAAGGGCAAAAAGGTCAAAAAGCCTTAGATTTCATATTATATGCAAAGTGTGAGTTATTTTACCTTCTCAAAATACCACAAAAGGAGTGGTATTTTTTCGTTTACCAGATACAAGGATTTGGTCAAAAACATTTCGGACAAATGTGCCCTTCCTCTTCACAACGTTGTCTTCGTTTCTTCAGAGAATATCATCGACATCTTATTTCTTCATTTCTTCATCAGTAAAATTGCTTTCTCTTTGATTTATTTCCTTGCTTGTCCCTATGAATATAGATTCATTTTTAGAGCTTGTACGCTGTTATTATAGAGTTTTGGAAGATCTGAGCTGATTTATTTCTCTTTGATTTTCTGTTTGATCTGAGTTGTTGTCAAGGACTTCTTCATGTGTAGCTCTCTCGTATCTGCATTTTGGTTCTCTCCTTGAACAAGTCGCTACATTTAACATCCTCCTTGAATTCGTGTTTATTAAAAAAAATAAAAATAAAGTGAAGGTGTAACCCTACATTCCCGCTAATATTTCATCATCGACCAAACAAAGACTCGGTAAACTTAACCAAAAAATTTCAGTAATATTTTCGCATACCAAACAACTTTTTTATAACATTGCTTGGTAATTCACTTTCCTATCATATTATTGGTAATCATGATTTCCATGCATCAAAAAAATTCTCCTATATCAAACAAGGAAACTCACACGTGGAAATAAGTGATGCCAATTTCTTGTGATTGTTCAGTAATAAAATAATGTCATCGAACAAATTAAATCGATCCACAAAAATATTGTTTATTTTATTGGTGTAACTTTGATTGGAATGGGTTATCAAAAGTTATTGTGCTCTTTTTTATCTCATTTATCACGGTAGCTATTATGATTCTTTGCGATATTGATTTTTTGGGCTTGAAAAGACTTGATTTTTTTTGGGGTTTGACATGATACATTTATTGGAATGTACCTTGAGAGTTTTTTCAGTTTTGCCTCAGTCAGTAGAGAGGGTGAGAGAAGGATGAAAGAGATGGTGAGATGGAAGAGAAAGAAAGAAATTAACATTAACCAAAAAGGAAATTAACATTAACCCAAAGTCATTGAATCAAATTTGATCTGATGATAATGAAATAGTAGTAAGAGGTGATAAGACAATTTAGTGGTAATTATAAACGGTCCCAACTCCCAAGTTTATATATTAAAAATTCTAACAAAAAAAATAAGAAACAAATCCAATCTAAACCAACGAAATTAAATTGGATTAGAACAAATTTATAATTTAAACTAAATTAGATAACATCATCACAAAACTAATTAAATTAAGTCAATCGATAATTTATCCTTAGAAGTGATCTAATCTAATCCAATTCAATTAAATCAAATTTACAATTCATACTAAACCATTCAAAAAATTGATTAAATTAGACTGGTTAACTTTTCTTTTCTTCTTAAGATTGATATATATTCAACCTACAAAAACCCTTAGTTTAAGCTCAACATTTTATTATTTTCTTTCCCTTTATCCAAATTCTCCCTGATGTGTTTTTAAATTTATTACTTTGATATTTAATAAACGTTTTTTAAATTTATGCTAACAAATGAAAATAATAATAAGAAATAGTCTGAAATTAAAATTTAAACAAGGGATAGATAACAATAATAAAATTGAAATTCTCTAAATAAAATTATAGTTTTTTAAATAATAAAAATTAAATCATTAATGATATATACACACATTTCTATAATTACAAAATTTTGTGATTGAAGAGGAAAATATCTAACTCACACCTATGTATCCATTCTTAACCGTTGCATCTAATAGCTCTAATTCGGAGTAAGTTGATCATTTTATTTACAAACTTTTGACGTCAAATTCATAAAACTTCTTAACTCATTTATATATACAAGTTTAAATTCAAAACTAAACATGCTCGTTTAGTTAGATAAATAAGTTTAATTAAACATTTAACAAGTTAAACAATTCACAAACTCCTTAACTCATTTGAAGATAATTTGAGTCAATATACAACAGAAACTACTATAAAAGAAGTTAGGAAGCCTAAACAAACCAACCACTTCGAAAATGACAATCGTTGCATTTCATGGCATTGAGGTAAATGCCACAAGTAAACACAGTGAAATCTCAAAGTTGTCCAAGAATCACTCAATCTATGTCCAGTTAATTTATAACTAGTGAACCTTAATCACAATGTATTGATTGGATGAAAATGAGAAGAGACCCATAGTGGAAGATTTTTAATGAAGGGAAAGGATGGAAACCTCCTCTTAATCTTAATTGGTAAAGGCCAAAGGATTCATTTTTAAATAGTTATTGAATTAGCCCTAGGAATATAAGTTTGACAAAATAAGGACTACTGAAAATCTAAACTTATAATTTACCCCTTCCCTTTTAAAGTCCCAAACAGGGACAATGGATTTCCCCTTATTTTTAAACGGGGAAATAAGTCCCCCTCCATAGCTTCCCTTTCCACCCCTTCTCTCCCAAGCATAGCATAAAAATACCATAAATTACCCCAAATTACATAAAAAATGCTCACCAAATTTGTTTGCACCTCCCCCTTCAAACAGCCTGATTCAAGCATGATGTTGATCAAGACATCGGCTAAACTTGATCTCCCAAATGGAAGTTGAAAGCTAAGAGATGACTCCCTCCCTGGCTCACGTGCCACCTAAGAAGCACCTTCATAATACGAGTTACAGCTATCTTGCACTCACGAGCCCATAAGACAGAAAGAAATCCGCGGGATGCAAAATGGTAAAGGTGCACGGTGCACCTAACAGCAAACAAACATGTTTACACTACCTCAGTGGTCTAAGTAAAAAGCATCTTCAACTCCTCAATCCGTGCAGTTCGAACTTCTTGATCAGTCAAGGCACCAGAAATCATTCGTTGTTTACGTGCTTGCACTGCCTCCATTCTCTCCTCAACTGTCCCCTGCAATGTGAAACAAAAGAACAAATGCCGCATTCAAGTCAATAATAAGTAATACAAGGTAAAAATTTACATCATTTGGCCTTACACACCAAACAAATATACCATCAAGTGACACATAATTATCCAAATTGACTTGCTTGAACTTAACAATCTAATATATTGGACTAATAAAGCAAGCACCAGCCTAGCTCACTAAATTTTTAGCACTTCAATTAAATTAAGATTATACATTAAATATGTACATTAGAAAAGGTAAAATTTCGCCTGGTTACTACCGGATTCCTTGTACCCAGTGACCCAATTGATCAGGCCCAATTAAAAATAGATCATAACACAAACACGTGAGATATGCGCACAATTTTCCAAAATTGAGATATTAAATATACCTTCACAATAAACCGTTTGATGGCCACTTTCTTTGTTTGTCCAATGCGATGAATACGCATAACAGCTTGTTCCTCAACAGCCGGATTCCACCATGGGTCCTGCTCATGTTAACAAATTATACATACCACAATTACTTGAAAACACTTACTTTTCAGATGTCAATTATAATATAACGTTCCAAATGTCAATAATAATAATAAAATGTCATTATATATCCGTTGGACTGGTTATTCTTAAAACATACCATTCTGGTGCAACTTTCAGAATCCTATATACATGCAAATGTTTACTCCTATATAAGATTTATTGCACCCTATCCATTGTATAGTTTAAATTTCTTAATCTAAAGCATATACTAAGACAACTAATAACTGTCGAAAACAAAAAATGACTGTAAATTTATACAGAAACGAGTAAAAGTATTAGAGGGAAATAATAATTTAAATCAGAATAGTGTCCCTCTAATCACGATATTTAAATCTTGAATCTTTAATGACAGTGTAATACAAATAACTTTCTCTCAGCCTAATTTATCCTTAATGAAGACTTGAGAGTTGAGACAAGGTAATGTATTAGTTCCTAAAATTTCAAACTACTGTGTAAAGCAACAAAAATAAACATTTGATAAGTCAAAATCGTCTAGGTGGTGGGTAATAGTGTAGGGAGATCATATATTATATACTCAGCTATGATCATGTGATTTTGGTCACTATTTTGATTTTTTATATGCGCCTAATGCTGCTGGTGATAATAACATTGTAGAGGATGAGCTTTTTACAGAATACATTTAATTAAAAGCTCTCATCATGTAGATCATCCTCAAAATATTAATAGTAGTACTAAATCATTTTGTATTTTATGAGAACATCTTCAAATATTCGCATAATATACTTTACAAGTGGAAAGTGGGAAAAAAAAAAGTTATTATATTAAATTGATGTTTATCATGATGGTTATTTACTTATATTTCAACAGCATTATGTGCTACACCATCATTAATTGATCTTCAAGAATACTATATATCCGCATTGTTACATTAATTTATCTCCCAACTTCGAATTAAACAAAAAGCCATATTTAGATTTATTTATTTTTATATATTTTGAGGCAGGGGTCCTATCGCCTGAAACCTTGTTAGAAGATCTTGAAATGAATCTCAATACTTTATTTACCCTATCTGAATTCTGGTTTATGCCTGAAGCTAGACAAATAAGACAACTTGAGCAAAAGAAACGGATTTGCACGTACCATGACAAAAGCATTTGAAGCTGCTGTTAGGTTTATACCCACTCCACCAGCTTTTAGTGACATCAACAACACCTGGTGCAAGAAAAGTAGTAATGGTTATATATAGTCAAAACACAATATTTGAACCAGTCACTACACTGACTAGGTGATAAAAGCAAGAGGAAATATGTCAAGACCTGGGTGTCGCTGTCCTCTGAGAATTGTTTGATTACTTTTTCCCGCTGCTGCAGATTCAAAGTTCCATCAAGACGAACAAATGAAATGTTATTCCTGGTACATAATAGGAAACTTCTTTTGTATCATTTTTCATCACCAAAATGTTTCAAAACAATAAAAAGGTTAAATACACTCATATTGGCATAAATGGCTTAAGCATGATGCAGAAAGGAACAGATGAAACATGCCACAAGGTCACAGCAATCCTCAAAGCTGATATCAACTTAAAAAGAATTATTGCAACACAATGTCAAGAAAAAGCATGTCTAGAATATGAGAACAGCTCTTTTAGAGAATTCACATTCACTCAGATTCTCTCCCACAAGAACATCTTTCCTAAAATATGATTCAATCAGCAACAAATCTTACCTAGTAAAGGGAATCTGCAAGAGGTCTAGAAAAGCAGTCCACTGGCTGAAAACAATGCTTTTGGAGCCTGATGAGCGAAGATTTTCAAGTTCATTCAAAAGAATACTTACCTTGCATGACTCTACCCAGTTCTTCTCAATATCAATCTGAAACCGACTCTCAGTAGGGGCAGTGATAAGATCCTGCCTGCTGATTATTTTCCTGTAAAAGAAAAAATATCGTTATTCACATTATAACCAAGATTCATTTGAAAACTACTGCAGTAAAAACAAACTTGAACTTCCTTGGATCAAAGTCAAACAAAAGATATCCAAAATTCTAACAGGTTAACCTGTCAATACCTACAAACAGGGCATAAACCAGAACTATAATTTCTCCAACTTGCCAAGAGGCATTCCCGGCATAAACGGTGAGCACAAGGTGTCAACACTGCATCTTCAAATGCCTCAAGACATATTGGACACTCTCCCTGCTCATCTTTACGTAGCTCTTCCACAACTTCTTGAACATAAGCCCGCGAAGGTGCAACTTTTACTTCGCCTTCTGAAGCATTACAGGTTCCTCTAAGGAAGCGCTTAGATAGTTTGTTTAGATCAGCAAATTCTTGAGTATCACCTCGACTAAATGAATCAATTGTCACCATGACAATAAGTTAAGGCTTATGAAGAGAAAACAAATTAACGATGCAAGGTCAAAGAAAATATCATCACAAGAGTTCTTTCCAATTACATTGCATCAAACAAACTTCCCTAGAAACAACAAAAGTAAAGCATCATCAAGCAAAGCTAAGAAAACCATCCTATGCAACGACAAGCTTATTTCTAAGTAGTATAGTTCTGATGCAACCAAACACACAATTATTACAAACATTGCAAACATCTCTGTTATACATATCTTTCTGTCTTCAAGAAAGAAAAGCAGTTTATGGTGAACCCACAGCCCAAACATGTTCCAAATACTTTAGACAACTTAATGATATTAAATCAAATGAGCAAGGGTAATTACCCAATAAAGTCGCACTGACTATTACTTTCAATCCTGTTAAGAACCAAAGTCCTGACTCAAGGTTCCACCTTAAGAACCCATGGCCTTCCAAATATGGTTAGCACTGAATGTTTTTATTTTGCAGCTTTTCCTATCCTTAATATTCTTCAATATCAGAAAGTAACAAAATTTAGGTTAAGTCAGAAAGAACATTTGACAATTAGACCATTAAGTAAAAGTACTTCCCAGCTATCATTTTTGCTTTTCAGCCTCCACTATGCTACCATCATCCAGCAATTTATCATTGTATTATCATTCTGATCAATTTGATTGGTGCTAAAGTTCACTATGAATTCCCTCAAATTCAACCTGGAAACTGTGACTACCATATAGTACATTTCAGAGTCCAATGTTGAATGTTCCAAAAAATATGAAGTCTCTTACAGAGAACCTTACTGGATTTTCTCCTGAAAATTAAAAAACTAACCAAACCTGACCAAAAGCACTCCTCGTATTAGTTTATGAATTGCATTATGTTGATCAGAACAGGTAAGAAATCTTGAAGAGCAGGTTAAATATGTTAGTGTAAGTGTTAGAGTTGTAATGTTAAAAACATTCATGAGTCTTCACCAAATAGCTTAAACTTTTGGGATAATTAGTTCATGACATGGCATGTGGTCTACAATTCGATCCTTGTTACCCTTATTATTCTACATGAAAGTTAAATTTCGGCACAAGGTGGTTGGACCTGAGCATTCTCTACGTCCAACAGGCTCCTCCACGAGGGGACATGAAAGAGATAAAATATAAAATCATTCTTGTGTCTTCACTTATTAGCTTAAGCTTTTAGAATAGTTGGTTTATGACAATAAATGTTCATTAAAATCCAATTGACCAGAACAAATGTTTAAAGTTAGCAGATTTCCAGTACAACATTCAAGTATATAAACAGGAATGTAAGACACCACACCTCATTACAAGAAATGGATGATCACAACATTGCCGAAGACGTAAAAGTAACTCCAATATTGAAGCATAATTATGAAGAACACGCCCTTGCTCAACAAACTGGTCAAACTTCACCTGCATAAATTGCATCAAAAGGTTGGATCAATGTGACTTTTTTCAGTGCCAAAAAAAAAGGTGAAAAATATTAAATATAGATTACGAAAAAATAAAATAAACCTTAGATCTTTTGAATAAGGCCTCGTAAAAGTCTTTTTCAGCTTCCGTGGGTTCACAGTAAATTATCTTCATATCAGCTGGCGGGAGAACTAGGATAGGCCTGCAACAAATAATCAGTTGACAGAATATACTAGATGATAAAATAGCACAAGTCCTTAACCAGTTTACTGACTTGCCATCGCGATCTGTGCTATGTTTGGTTCTCCTCAGCATGATTGGCTTCAAAATAGACTGAACTAACTTCAACCCTCTCTCATCACCACCCTCGAATGGTTTCTGAACAAGTTTGTTCCACCTGCATCATTCAAAACAAATTTTCCCAGTCCATCACTCCAGCCACATAACCACTAAGAGTAAACAATCAACGTAATAAACAGAGTAGCAGTAGATTATAGTAACATGTTTCCTGCAACAAGTCCAGAAAACATTATTCTCATAAAACCTAATTAAATCATAAGGTGTAGAATTCTTCACCACCAGATGCCATCATCATCAACTAACAGAAGTTTGAAGAGGAAAGTAAAAAGGAGAGTCAGACCACTTGTCTTATAAACTAACATAAGATTTACGCTATAAATTTCATGTATAAGTCTAGCTACCAATTTTATTTGTTACAATCCTCAGAAGGAAATATTTGAAACTATATCTTCCCTTGAATAAAAAATGGCTTTCAGTTCAGAAGTTGTAAAAAACCAGAAAAGAAACAACCCTAATTAGAAATTGAGAAGAATGGAAGAAAATATTGGAGATAATTCAAATAGAGTTAACATATCCAACACTAAGAAAAAGACGAATTTACCAGGCCCAATGACCCCAAGGTTCTATTCTCAGAAACCGGAGAAGACTGTAAATATCCTCAAGGTTGTTCTGTACATAAAAGGGATGCCATGTCAGGAACGATAAAAACTACATCTGCAGTCATGAGACTAATGACCAATCCAAAATAAGCCAACTAATATTCAATTCAAATACATGAAAAGGATTGCAAGAAAAAATTTGAAGTACATACTCATGCGGAAGTTACAGAAAAAAACCCCATGGCTGATATTTTTAACTTTTCAGAAGAAGTTTTTTTTATACCAAAAGCATTTTCAGAATTGAAAAAACATAAAGCTAATCCAAATGCACATTAAGGAATTGAAAGCATTGCAAGATACATGTGCATAACAAACCAAAGGCTATCATGCTTAAACACAATTTGCAACAGACAACACTAGGATAAACCATGAACAATAAATGAAAATACAATTGAGTCAGAAAGCAAGATGGGTGTACTACCACAACCAGAGCATGAATTGGAAAACCTCAACTGAAAGATGGAAACCACAAGACACTGTCAAAGCTAATTAAATATCCGTAAGTTTAATTATACAATATGATATTACCGTTAGTGCTAATCAAGAATTCCTAGTATATCAAGTTAATGCATCACATAGTGGTCTTCTGTAAAATTTGGGATTAGGGAGAAATTTCTTATTCTTGGTAAATCAATTAGTTAATTAATCCATAAATACCAAAAAGAAAATCGTCAGCCATGATATAAGATTAAGACTCATAATTATAATAATTCACCTGGATTGGAGTGCCAGTAAGACACCAACGTTGGTCAGCAATTAGAGCAGCAGCTGCCATAGAAATTTGGCTTTTAGTAGATTTTATAGTATGTGCCTCATCAAGAACTACTCTAAACCACCGAATTGAGAAAAGTCCACCATTCTCCTCCGTATTCTGTACATAAGACAGATAGAAAGACTCATCGGTTGAGTTTTAAGAAATGAAGCAAATAGGCTGACAACTATCAGATTAAACAGGTTTTCAACTACCTCACTGGAAAATTCAGAGGCCAAAATTCCATATGTAGTAATTACAACATCACTTTGAGCTAGACTTTTTGCATCTTTTGGCCTACTTTGTCCATAATGAACATATAGAGACAGAGACCCAGGCTGCACATGAGTTTCAATCTCTGCCTGAACAAATTGTCAAATGTTCAGAAATGGAAAGAAAATATTTGACTTACTACATCCCAGAGCTGAGTACAATGAGAGACCAACTCTCAAGTAAAGAAATGCAGTAATAAGAGAGCTACATATTGAAAAATTGACAACACAAATACCTTCCACTGTCCGAGAAGAGTCATGGGACATATTATCAAGTTACCACCACTTGTTAGAACATTCTTTTGCTTTATCAGTTTATCAAAACCAGCAAATTTGGCTGCTTTCTTTGGTATGTTTGAAAAATTGTGCACTGTATTACTAACTTCACCTTCAATGAAGGACTGAGCTATGATTTGACTGCCTAATGATCCACCCCTTCCAGAATGGGCAAGGAGAAGGGATATGGTCATGATGGTCTTTCCAAGTCCCATAGCATCTGCCAAAATCTTCGAATTCACAATAAAATAATACATTACAAACATTGAACAATATGTGGAAGCAACAAAATTACCAGGGTTAACTCGTTAAGAAACATACTCCTCCTCTGGCCATTTGAAGAGTGCTAGGAAATTCTATTGCAGCTTCACCAGAAAATGCATTCAGATAAATAACAAGCTCCCTCCTAAAAAGTACAAGCATAACTATTTCATCAAAACCACTCATTGGTTTTTCCACATATATATATATATATATATATATATATATATATATATATTAAACACAGGCATACTTGTCAGCCAAGCGATACGCCTCCCAACATGGATGAAGGGTTGTTGCTGTCTCATCCATAGGTCGTCCCTTCTCCATCTGGACCATCCAATAAAGAGCCTGCTTTTGATAGGGCCGCAGTTCACACAGAAGATTGCCAGGGGGATCCATTTCCTGAACAATACTTTCTGGTTAATGGTTATTACACCATTTATATACATAACATAAGTAAAACAATGCATGTTACTCTTAGAAAGCAGCACCTCTAACTCTGAGTTTGATCCAACACCAACAATGTTCTCGAGATCAATTTCGGAAATGGAATCCTCATTGCCATTCTCATTACCATTTTGAGAAGGATGTTCCGACTTGGCATGTAGTAATGTGACCTGAAGATATTATAAATCCTGTTAAAGAAAGGTACCATGCTAGGATAGTTGCAGACATCATCACTAAGCAATTCTATCAGTAGTTTTGTACCTTTAGGTTGAAAGGACGCTTTAGGGAACAGAAGTCACCAGGAGTTAACTCTGCCTAAAAATTACATGATGAAGCAAATGCAAGTCAATATTCCAGTACAACTTTCTTCATACTCACAGTTGAGTTACGTACTCGAACAACAGAAGCTAACTCCACAAGAAGAAAGAAAATATAATAATTTCAACCGAATATACCAATGACTCGGGGGAAAAAATAAAAATAAAATAAAAACAGGTGACACGGGGCCAACAACCACCTTCTTATAAGGGTTCAGGCCTAGCAGCCGAAACAAGGCTGGAAGAGGATGAAACACTGATTCATCTGTGGAATTGGTAGCATCCTTGAGAGAAACCTGGTGATGCTTACCAAACATTGAACTGTTGATGAATACACTGAAATAGAAACCCGCAAAAAAATAAAAATAAAAATAAAAATAACAGCCGAATTTAATTATTTACCATCATAATCATTAACACTAGACAACAGAACATGGCTAGGCAATCATTGCTTTTCGCATTGAGCATACCTGATTGTCAAAACAACGGTGTCCATGATGCCCAAAACATTAGGTGCAAATTTACAATGCCCTTCAATCTTAACCTTATTATCCCGCACAAGAGGCAAAAGACAACGAGCCCATTCATTTGGTATTCTACCAATCTGCCAAAAACAAAAAAAAAACCCATCAAAATTCAATCACTATAAAAACACAAATTGAACTATGGAACAATCGTTGCACATTACCTCTCCAGCTTGTTGAGTAGAAAACCGAACTATCTCCGAACAAGTTGCTGCACCCTGTCGCCCTCTTCCAAAACCCTTACCCGGAGAGGGAGAAGCAGAGACTCTCTTTATCGGAAACTTGAAAAACACTTGCTCACCGGATTTTATACTCCTCCCTTTGCAAGTTGACAACCCTGTCAATTCGCCACAACCTACGAACCACCAATCATCGGATCCAACAGGGCAGTTATCGCTGTTTTCTCCTCCTCCGCAATTGTGGTCGGAGTTGGCTATGACGGTGTTAGGGTTCGATTTTAGAGGAGAATCTTGGTGAGGAGTATCGGTGGTGGTGCGAGTGGGTTTGAATTTGGTGGTATGGGTACTGTCGAAGATGATGTTAATGGCAGCGGTGACGTCATTATTGGCCATGTGTAGGGCTCTGATGATGTCCATGTCGGTGAATTCGGAACCAACGATGGATCGTACGGTGGATAAGTGGTGATCTGTGACTGTGACCTTGCTCCCCATCGAAACCCTAACTTGGTAATTCGGCTTTTGAAAATTTGAAGCAAAGAATGAAGAACGAACGAAATTCTCAATTTTCGTAAATTAGACAAAAGGCGGGGACGAAGTGGGTCTCCGTTACAAGGCGGGAGTTCACGTGAGAGGCACGTGGTTACTTGCCTTCCCGCCATTATCCATTATCCCGTGTTTTCGATAGGGGTACATAAGAATCCAGCTATACCATTATTTATTTACATATGCATTGATGTGGAAATGAATAATCATGGGTTATTGTTATTCTAAGATAATTTTAAAATTGAGCAGCATCTATTTACAATAGTAAATTTTATATCAAATTTAAACCCTTAATTTTTGTGCATTTAATAGTTGTAATTTATTAGGTTATATTAAATTATTAATTAATAAGAAATTACAAACGATTAAAATTTGATATAAAATTTATTATTCTTACATTGATATAAATTAATCTTGTCCCTTCAAGATTAATTATTCTAAATTTCATAACTATCATATTTACACCAATGTTTTCACACACTTATAGATGATAACGAGTAGTCGATCCAATGTTTTAATGTTCCCCATATCATGTATCTACACCACTCTTTGAACATCAATTCACTAATCCTTTTCAATTGGGCCGTAAATTCCTTGTTCTAATATATTAATAGAGATAGTAATTTTGTAGCAGATCTTTTAGCTAAAAAAGGTTTGTACCTAACGGGGGATGAGATAAGAGTGTTTGCCTCTCCCCCTGAAAGCATTGTAGCTTTGTGGAACACCTTTAGGGTGAATTTACTGATAGAGCATGTGAACTCTAACATGCATCAGTTGTCTTTGTAGTTTTGCTGGGCTAGGCACTCCATTTATATAAAAAAAAATAACAAAAAAATAAAAAAATTCCTTGTTCTAGAGGATGAATAATTTGGCCCCTAGTGTAAGAACCTGCACCGTTAATTAAGGAATTTAATTAATAAATTATGAGAAAATAGGAAATGATTCCATAATTGACCCTAATAATTATTATGAGGCTTTAATGATTATAGTAAGTGAATAAGAATGTTGAAAGTCATTTTTCGGAAGAAAAGTGCAGATACCGGTTCTGCTAGTCGGTATAAATGTGTACCGAAAAAGTATCCCGGAAAAGTATAATAAGTGACTGATAATTACTAGAATAATATGTAGGACTTGTAAAACGAGTTTCAAGTCCAAATAATGAGAACTGGTGCTAGAAACCGGTACTGGCTTTGAAAAGCGCGTACATGAAAGGTGCTCGGAAAAATATAATAAAAATATGAAAATTCTTGTAAATTGAGTAGGTTAAGAATCCAAAGTTTGGGATTAAAATGCTAAGCGTAGCAATTAAAGCTAATATTGTGTGGTTAGTGTTAAGTGTACTATATATAGTCACTTGCACACAACCCTAGGCTGATACTCAGCCATTCTATGTGTGAGTTGTGTGTGTGGCTGCTGCCTCCTCTCCCTTTTCACTGTTCCATTGAGTTTTCTTCACAAAAATCCTTCAAGACACCAATTTTATGAGAGACTTTACACCTTGAACACTTGTAGCTTGTGAGTGTTGGCCTTGGGAGGGTGTGGAGTGTGTCATTCTGAGTTTGTGGCCTCTGTGGTGAGGTGAAGTTGCTGACTTTGGGGCTGTCTTCTTGGGTTTGGGGTTGTGTGACCTTGTTCTTGGCTTCTTGAGCTTCAAGAAGCCACCTTTTGGCACAAAGGGTCTAGCTTGAAGTGTATTTTCGTAGCCTTGTGAAGTCAGAACCTTGGAGTTGCATTGGAGGCTTCCTTTCTGCTTCATTTTCGAAGTTTTGAGCTCTTGAGGTGAGCCATGATCACCTAAGTATCATTTTGAGGCCTAAAGCTTGTTTAATCTATTAAAAATAAGAACTTTAACCATTTTAGTAAAAGAATGTGTTTCTGGGTTCATAACATGTTGGGTTATATCTGTTTAGGGAGTCATTGGACTCCCAATCGCGTTTGGACCCTTAAATTAGGGATTATACAGAAGTTGGCTCAAATTTCTGCATTTTGTTGAAGAAGTATTCGAATACTTTTCGTGTAGTATTCGAATACTTGTTCATCAGGTAGTCGAATACTCTTGCTGGAGTATTGGAATACTTTTCTGGGAAGAAAAGTATTCGGTTACCTTTGAAGAAGTATTTGAATACTGAAAAGTATTCGAATACAGTAAAGTTTAGTATTCGGATACTGAGGTATTCGGATACTGGGGGGTTAAGTATTCGGATACTGGTGAGTATTCGAATACTTAAATGAAAGTAATCGAATACTTTCTGGAGAGCTGGAGTATTCGAATACTACTCGTGGAGTATTCGAATACTTCCTGCAGAAACAGCATGTAATGAGTGAAAATGACTAAGAAAGACTTAATCACTTAATGTAATCTGAGCTATGATTATTGATGAGTAATTATGGTATGGGCAGATTGTGATTGTACTATTTGTGGGCCTTGAGCTGTGTGGACTCTTGGTTTGGATAGTAGCTTACAAGGTAAGCTTTCGTGTCCTCGGTTTAGCCATGTTGTGGTTCCACCATGTCCCATGGGGGTATGGTTATATGCATGCTGTGTTACATGCTTTGGATATTTGAAATGCTATTGAGCTTTATGTGTAATGGCTTTTAATATGCATGTGTTGTTCCATCTTGACGGTAAGCCTGAGTATGTAGCGTCATACAGGACGGTGATCCGGGGTGGATGCAAGTAGCGTCTTGCACTATTTGTGGGTATTAGACGTATATAAATCCTGCATTTCTCTGGCCAGTAGAATAGAATTGACACACATGGCATGATTATCTGCTGCATTGCACTGTTTTAGAAATGATATTGATGAATTGCTTTTAAACTTATATTGCACATGTAAGTGAACTTGAGGTGGAAGATCCTTGAGGACCCCTTGTCTTATTGAGATTTCTTGTTTAGAGATCTCACCCCACGTTTGGGGAATGCTTATTTCAGGTTCCGGTGGTTTGGTGACTGATGCCTCTGGCGGTAGGAGGCCAGAGCTTAGTTGATGATATTATGCTGTATTGCTGCCATGACTGGATATGGATGCTGTTATGTTTTCCGCTATTTATGATTATGTGGTTGTTGAGACTGATGTTGGGCGTGTTGCCTTATTTGAGTGAGCATGGAGATTGTCCATGACACTTTATGTTAGTAATTTTAGATTGGAGTTGTATAAACTGTTAGATGGTCCGGTCTACGTTGTTGTAGTTCCGTGACTAGAGCCACACTTATATCATCTATGTTATGAGGTATTTTCAGTTAGCTGTTTTATTGCAATTACATACAGACGATGTTTTATTAATTGATTAATAAGCAAGTTGGTAATGATAATGACATCATAATTGAAAAGAAAAAGATATTCCACATTTTTAATTAAGCGCTGCTTAATACGATAGTATGATAACATTACCGGATATATACGGGGTGTTACACCTAGTTTGGGACTTTCCCGTTTAAATCGACAAATTTGTTATGTGTATAAGAGTAATTACGATTTCGGGTCATTAAGTGTCGTGGGGGACCCAGCGTATCTAAACGACGCCCCCGGATTCCCACGACACTCATGTCATCTTTTTCCTTGTCCCTCACGACACTCAATTTTTCTTATTCAAATAAGTGCCGCCCTGCCCTCTCTACGGTACTAATTAAATAATTTTTTTTATTTAATTAAGTCCCGCCCAGCCCCCCATACAGCACTAATATAATTTTTTTTAAAACCCCCAATTTGTATCTCTGTTTTGAACTTCTGCAAATAATAAAACAAAGTTAAATGATCCAATGTCGTCGAGCTGCAGACCGAGAAGGGTTCAGAGCCATTACCAAATCGGAGGACAAGAACCTTGTCTATGGTGTCGCCGATGATGGAATCAACCTGTAATTTGTCTAGACAACGACATTAACAGGTAACTCATTCATTCTGCCACCGTTTATCGGAGCCACCTTCACCGTCAACCACCAGACCCTCTATCACCTCGAACACCTTCGCCGTCAGCCACTGTTCATCATAACCACATATCCCAGTAAGTGCCTACTAGAATTCTGCAGTTTTTTTTCACTTTAGAGTTTTGATATTGCCATTGAGTTCAATTGTGCTGGAAACATGGTCCATAATTGTAATGTGTTGCTAATTGATGCGTGTGGGATCTGGGATTTCAATATGATAACAAATTTGGCTTGGTTATTGCTTTATTCCTATTTTCTTGCTGCTCTTATGCATTTCAAATTCTTCTTGTTTTGCCTATGCAGCTCTGTACATTTTTGCATCACTAATTTCTAAGAGTGTACAGTTTAGGTTCTGTGATGCTGTATTTTATTTTCTTGTCCATAGGCGCTTAAGAATGAAAATAAACAGCGAGAAACTGCATCGAGCAAGGTTTATTGGGAACTAATTAAAACAACTATGTTAGGATATCACAAAAGAATTAATTTAAAACTAATACAACTATTACTAATTAAAACAAACCCTAAATGTTAATAATAAATTAATTATTCTAAAATATGTTATTAAAATATTAACATATCTTGATGTATCATATATGTCGTTTTCCCCAAATCATATGCACAATATCTTGATATCTTTTTGTTCGGATATATCATATATGTCTTTTATAATTATGTCTTATAAAGTTGTAATTCTTTTATAAGTTATGTTATGAGAATTGTTTTGTGTTTTTGGATCATTGTGTGCATTGAAAAAAGTGGAATTATATCCTAATGAGCGATGATCCAAAATCTGCAGAGTGTATGAAGCAATTAGAGCAAATTGATTACCCATTACTTGTTAGTTATCACTGTTTATAATTTTGATACTTGGTTATCAAAAATAATTTTTCTTTTTAGATAGATAAGTGGCTCAACACACATGTTCATTATGTAATATTTTTTTTACATGCATATATATAATTTTATATTTTGACCTTAAGTAATAGAAAGTAGAAACTTTACGTTTCGTGACGTTTTTACGTTTTACGTTTCTGCCACTCCTTTCTATTTCTACGTAAAAACTCGAATTTGACAACATTGGATACATGCCTATGTTAGGATATCACAAAAGAATTAATTTAAAATTAATACAACTATTACTAATTAAAACAAACCCTAAATATTAATAATAA